CAAAGTTAACAGAAGGAAAGAAATCATAAAGATCAGATCAGAAGTAAATGAAAAAGAAATGAAGGAAACAGTAGCAAAGATCAATAAAACTAAAAGCTGATTCTTTGAGAAGATAAACAAAATCGATAGACCATTTGCCAGACTCATCAAGAAAAAAAGAGAGAAGACTCAAATCAATAGAATTAGAAATGAAAAAGAAGTAACAGCTGACACTGCAGAAATACAAAGGATCATGAGAGATCACTACAAGCAACTCTATGCCAATAAAATAGACAACCTGGAAGAAATGGACAAATTCTTAGAAAAGCACAACATTCCGAGACTGAAGCAGGAAGAAATAGAAAATATAAACAGACCAGTCACAAGCACTGAAATTGAGACTGTGATTAAAAATCTTCCAACAAACAAAAGTCCAGGACCAGATGGCTTCGCAGGCGAATTCTGTCAAACATTTAGAGAAGAGCTAACACCTATCCTTCTCAAGCTCTTCCAAAATATAGCAGAGGGAGGAACACTCCCGAACTCATTCTGTGAGGCCACCATCACCCTGATACCAAAACCAGACAAAGACGCAACAAAGAAAGAAAACTACAGGCCAATATCACTGATGAACATAGATGCAAAAATCCTCAACAGAATACTAGCAACCAGAATCCCACAGCACATTGAAAGGATCATACACCATGATCAAGTGGGGTTTGTCCCAGGAATGCAAGGATTCTTCAGTATACACAAATCAGTCTATCTGATACACCATACTAACAAATTGAAGGAGGAAAACCATATGATCATCTCAGTAGATGCAGAAAAACTTCCGACAAAATCCAACACCCATTTATCATAAAAACCCTCCAGAAAGTAGGCACAGAGGGAACTTGCCTCAACACAATAAAGGCCACATATGACAAACCCACAGCCAACATCGTTCTCAGTGGTGAAAAACTGAAACCGTTTCCTCTGAGGTCAGGAACAAGACAAAGATGTCCACTCTCACCACTCTTATTCAACATAGTTTTGGAAGTCCTAGCTACGGCAGTCAGAGAAGAAAAAGAAATAAAAGGAATCCAAATCAGAAAAGAAGAAGTAAAGCTGTCACTGTTTGCAGATGACGTGATACTATACATAGAGAATCCTAAAGATGCCACCAGAAAACTGCTAGTGCTAATCAATTAATTTGGTAAAGTAACGGCATACAAAATTAATGCACTAATGATGAAAAATCTGAAACAGATATTAAGGAAACACTCCCATTTACCACTGCAACAAAAAGAATAAAATACCTAGGAAAAAACCTACCTAAGGAGACAAAAGACCTGTATGCAGAAAACCATAAGACACTGATGAAAGAAATTAGAGACAGTACAAACAGATGGAGAGATACACCATGTTCTTGGATTGGAAGAGTCAACATTGTGGAAATGACTCTACTACCTAAAGCAATCTACAGATTCAGTGCAATCCCTATCAAACTACCACTGGCATTTTCCACAGAGCTAGAACAAAAAATTTCACAATTTGTATGGAAACACAGAAGACCCCGAATAGCCAAAGCTATCTTGAGAAAGAAAAACGGAGTTGGAGGAATCAGGCTCCTGGACTTCAAACTATACTACAAAGCTACAGTAATCAAGACACTGTGGTACTGGCACAGAAACAGAAATATCGATCAATGGAACAGGGTAGGAAGCCCAGAGATAAACCCATGCAGATATGGCCACCTTATTTTTGATAAAGGAGGCAAGACTATACAGTGGAGTAAAGACAGCCTCTTTAATAGGTGGTGCTGGGAAACCTGGACAGCTACATGTAAAAGAATGAAATTAGCACACTTCCTAACAACATACCCCAAAATAAACTCAGATTGGATTAAAGACCTAAATAAAAGGCCAGACACTATCAAACTCTTCGAGGAAAACAGGCAGAACACTCTATGACATAAATCACAGCAAGATCCTTTTTGACCCAGCTCCGAGAGAAATGGAAATAAAAGCAAAAATGAACAAATGGGACCTAATGAAACTTAAAAGCTTTTGCACAGCAAAGAAAGCATAAACAAGAGGAAAAGGCAACCCTCAGAATGGGAGAAAATGTTTGTAAATGAAGCAACTGACAAAGGATTAATCTCCAAAATTTATAAGCAGCTCGTGCAGCTCAATATCAAAAAAACAACCCAATCCAAAAATGGGCAGAAGGCCTAAAGAGACATTTCTCCAAAGAAGACATACAGACTGCCAACAAACACATGAAAGGATGCTCAATGTCACTAATCATTAGAGAAATGCAAATCAAAACTACAGTGAGGTGTCACCTCACACCAATCAGAATGGCCACTATCAAAACATCTACAAAGAATAAATACTGGAGAGGGTGTGGAGAAAAGGGAACCCTGTTGCACTGTTGGTGGGAATGTAAATTGATACAGCCACTGTGGCGAATAGTATGGAGGTTCCTTAAAAAACTAAAAATAGAACTACCATACGACCCAGCCATCCCACTACTGGGCATATACCCTGAGAAAACCATAATTCAGAAAGAGTCATGTACCACAATGTTCATTGCAGCTCTATTTACAATAGCCAGGACATGGAAGCAACCTAAGTGTCCATCGACAGATGAATGGGCAAAGAAGGTGTGGCACATGTATACAATGGAATATTACTCAGTTATAAAAAGAAAGGAAATTGAGTTATTTGTAGTGAGGTAGATGGACCTAGAGTCTGTCCTACAGAGTGAAGTAAGTCAGAAAGAGAAAAACAAATACTGTATGCTAACACATATATATGGAATCAAAAAAAATGCTTCTGAAGAACCTAGGGGCAGGACAGGAATAAAGACACAGATGTAGAGAATGGACTTGAGGACACAGGGAAGGGGAAGGGGAAGCTGGGACGAAAGTGTAAAATAGATAGCTAGTGGGAAGCCGCCACACAGCACAGGGAGATCAGCTCCGTGCTTTGTGAACACCTGGAGGGGTGGGATGGGGAGGGTGGGAGGGAGACGCAAGAGGGAGGAGATGTGGGGGTATATGTGTATGTACAGCTGCTTCACTTTAAAGCAGAAAGTAGCACACCATTGTAAAGCAATTTTACTCCAATAAAGATGTTTTAAAAAAAAAAAGATTTGCAGTGGATTCTTTTTTATGACCAAATGCAACTTATAGATACTAAAAAGTACAATAATCAAAATTTAAAACTTAATGTATGGGCTTACAGTAGACTGGATGTTGCTAAAGAGAGAACTAGATACCCAGGCAGTAGGGCAGAAGGAAGTATTGGGAATGAAGCACAGAAAGACCGAAAAGAGAGGAAAACTAAGGAAAGCCTGTTCAGAGAAATGGAGGTTAGATTGCGAAAGTCTACCATTTACCTAATAGGTTTCTGTAAGCAGAGGAGAGAGGGAATGGAGAAGAGGCAGTGTTTGTTGAGATCATGACTGAGGAGATTCCAGAGCTGACTAAAGAGTCTAACCCACGGGTTCATGAAGCCCCATGAATCCTAAAAAGTATCAATAAAATCCTAGAAGTACGGTATGAGACCGGAAAAGGACAGATGACCTTCAAGGGACCAACAGCTTCACGTCTGACTTGTCAACAGTTAGCAGCAGAGAAAGTGAGATAAAGGTGGAATGATATTTCAGTGTGCTGAAACAAAATCAAAACAAAACAAAACACAACAACAAAAACAAAAGACCCTTTCAATCTAAAAATCTATACCCAGTGAGGATAGCAATCAAGAATGTGCATAGAAAAAGAGACTTTCAGGCAAACAGAATCTGAGAAATTAGCCATCAACCGACACTTAACAAAAGGAAATACTGAAGGATACAGTTTGGCAGAACTGATCCCACATGGGAGATTTGAGATGAAGGACGCAATGAGAAACAACCCCCCCAAAAGTGGTCAATATATTGGTCAATCTAACAGTATAAAAACACGGGCTTCCCTGGTGGCGCAGTGGTTGAGAGTCCGCCTGCCGATGCAGGGAACACGGG